GGCTGAATAATGTCCCATTGTTTGAATATGCCACATTTTGTTTATCCATTCATTAGTTGATCAATATTTGGGTAGGTTCTACTTTTTGGTTACTATAAATAATTCTGCTGTAAACATCCACGTACAAATTTTTGTGTGGGCACACGTTTCCTCTTGGGTATATTCCTCATACTGGAATTGCTGGGTCATATGGTAACCACATGAGGACCTGGAAAACTGCTTTCCAACATTGGCATGTTGTGTCTCTTCTTCGGAGAAAGGCCTATTCAGATCCTTTGCCCATTTTTAAATTGTTCACTATTATTATGTAGTTGTGAGAGCTTCCTGCATATTCTTTATACAGAATAGTATCTTCTACGGATGGACCCACACCTGCAAAGACTTCCAAAGACTGCCCTCGGGCTCCTGGACCCTGCTTAGCGCGGCACATTTTGCACACAGCCCGTGTGCCTTGCAGGTGTAAAATGCCCTCCAGCGTCTCCGTGTTACCAGCCAGAGGCTGACGCTGCTCTGCAATTACACCTTGGCCTCCTTGCCTTTCTGTCCTGATCGCCTTTTCGACAAATCACCCGCACCGGAGCCTCATCTCCAGGTTCTGCTTTTAGGGGAACTTGACCTCAGAAAGAGCTTGGAGTGGCTGAGGAACTCAAAGGACGTCAGGGTTGCCACAATTCAGAGAGAATGTGGAGATTGGGGCACATGGCGAGGCTAGAGTGATAGGCAGAAGCCTGACCACACACAGCTTCGTGCAGCACAGCGAGGGCTGGGTTTACATCCGGAGAGCCATGGGATGCCACTGGGCAGTGACATTGACGTTATCTTACATTTTGTAAAGGTTCCTCTAGGTTCTGTGGCTCGGGAGGACCGCGGAGGCTACAGTTACAGCCGTCCAGGGGAGAGAGGATGGAGGCTGGGAGGCCGGTGGGGATGCCGAGGGAGAGAGAAATGGAACATCAGAGAAGGATAGGCAGGCGGATTTCAGGGCTGTGGGGAAGTTCAAGGACAAGCTGCAGACTTCCAGCCTGAGCACCTGAATGCGTGGGCAGTGCACAGAGGAGGCGGCGGCATTGGGACAGTAGAGCAGAGTTCCATATGCAAGACGACCCCAGCTTGCCATCCGTTTCGGGCCCAACCCCCTCGTTTCACAGATGGAGGAAGTGAGGCCTGAGGGGTGCAGTGGTTCCCCCGGGGCCCCCCCACAATGCCGCAAACAGAAGGGACAGGACTTCAGGAATCCTGTTGCCCAGACAGAAGACTCACTCTCTGGGGGACCCACTGGCTCCAGCCTCAGAAAGCTAATTTGTCAGCTAGGAGAGGGCGGGGGTTTGAGCCAGACGGGTTTGTCCTGGGCTGGAAGCCAGTTCACAGCCCCCAGAGAACAGAATATCTCTGTTTTATGACGGCTGCCTGTGCCCTGACTCCAACCGGCTGCCCTGTCTGGGTCTGGTGTGGGTAACTTGACGGCAGGAGGGTGTGGGGCACCCCCTTCCGAGTGGCTGACAACTGGAGGCTTATCTGCGCCCCCAGATTTGGCACTGACCAGAAGCGGGACAAGATTCTGGGCTTTCCCCTTCTTGCCCTGCGACCCCTTTCCTTGCAGTTTGACCTTGGGGACGTCACCTCCCCTCTCCGGTCTTCATTGAGTCTTCTCAACTGCAACACGGGGACATCCCAGAGTATGACTTTGGTGCCTTCGGGGTTGCAGTGACTCTCAGAGGAAAAAACAGACGGACAAAAAAAAAATACTTTGTAAACTGTGAAGTGCCTCAACTTCAATCTGGGCTCATCCTGCTTCTTGCCACGGCCCAGTGGATTCCTAAGGCTTTGCTCCTTGACACGACAGTCACCCCTCTGGAGAAGAAAAACGCTTGGTATGGAGCTCGGGGATCCGGAGATCTTATCGTGCTGGCCCGGGAGGCTTGATAAACCCATTGGAAGGTGGGGAAAACTGAGAGGCTGCCCTGCTCACAGCCGCCAGGCGGTTAAGCCTGGATTCAAAGGCAGGGCTCTCTGAGTCCAAAGACGAGAAAAATCCTTATCCATTTAGTGATCTGATGGACGGATAGGGCAAACTGAGGGCCAGAGGGGAAAGCAACCCGCCTGGGGTCCTGCAGGCGGTCTGCAACACGGTGCGTCACCTGAGGCCCCTGCCTCCCAGGCCGTGCTCCTCCTGCAACCCCTCAAGCACGAAAAAGGGGCTCCTGTCACCGTCATGTCACTGGAGGACTCGGGGTTCCTTAACGGTCCACCTTCCTCCCACCGGCACAGAGGGACCGCACCTTCGCCTCTGCACAGCAGCCTCTTGGAGCTGAGGCTTTGCTGACACAAAGCTCTGTTGTCGCTAGAGCGACATCTCTAGGGGGAGGCCACGCCACGCCCACTCCACGGGTGGGTCAGGGCAGAAGTCAGTTAATCAGAAAATTAATTAAGAGATCCACACGATTCAAAGACCAAAAAATTCTTTGGGAATCTACTGGTGGCCTCTGGAGAAATGTCTCCCTTGGCTTGCTAGATAATGAAAGCAGGGGCTGGCCGGGCCAGGGCCAAAGTATAATACAAGATACCCATTTAATGAGCACTTACTATGCTCCAAGCACCTTTCTAAGGACTTTCCACATACTAACTCACGTAACGCAGCAAGCCTCTGAGATCTGATTATTCTCTCGAGAAAGGAAACCACGGCACGGAAAGACCACACAACTTGGCCAAGGACTCACAGTTCGTGAGCCACGGAGCCTGGGCAAAAATCCAGTCTGTCCAACTCCAGAGCCACGTGACTGACCACACTGCCACACTGGCTCGCGCACTACCGGAGACCAGGTGTGAAGGGCCCAAAGGACCAAGCCTGGTCCAGCCTAGGCACACAGCTGGGCACACAGCAGCGGCCAAGCTCCGCAGGACTTCCGAGGGGACAAAGCTGCGACCCCCGCGGAAGCAGCGAGCGGCCCGGGCTTGTCCCGAGGTGAGTCCAAAGCATCGGCGTGGGATCAGGTCCTGGCTCTGCCACTCTCTGCGTGGCACTTCTCGGAGTCTGTTTCCTCCTCAGTAAAACGGAGTGAAATTGGTATTGGCCTCACATGACTGTCGTGAAAGATTCAGTGAGCCCTGTACAGCTTTTCAGGTGTTTAGCACCGAGCTAGGCAGGAAGAAAATGCAGAGTAAACGTCAGCTATTACATTATGTATTATTTTATTCGTTATTATATTTCGTTTCGGCCTCCCCTCTCCATGGGCTACTGTGATGGGATTTGGCTCTTTTTAGAGAGCAGAGGGATGTGCAAGATGGCTTTGGGGAGCCCTCCCTTCCAAGAATTCCAGGACCATCCGTCCCCTTCCTCAGCCCCCCTCAACCCTCACAGTGTCTGTGTTCTCTCAGAAGTTAGTTTCCATCCTTGCACCCCAGGTGCCCTGGCTCCCTGCCTGTGGTCCCCACTGGTTGGATGCTGTTGCTATAGCAACAGCATTTTAAGAGCCTTCGGCCCCCTGTCTGAGGCGACAGGCATGGATGGAGGGAGGGGGGCTTATCAAATGCCTCCTGTATCCTCAGGCCCGTCTGGACTGCAAGGCAGGAGAGTGGAATGCAAGAAACAGAGCTAGCCTGGGGTGGGGGGCCAGCTCAGACCCCAGCCCCAAGTGTTGCCCAGCAGCACCCCACCTCGCTGTGTCACATGGGAAACACCTGAGCGGTTGATTATAAATGCAGATTCCAGCCATGCCCTGGCCCCAAGGGCCTGGTTTTAATTATCTGGGCGGGACCCCCTAGGAGGCTGCCTTTGATCAGCTCTGCTCACGGTCCTGAGGCAGGCAGGCCACAGACCACACTTGCCAAAATCTTAAGTCCTAGAAGATTCCTGAAAGCCAACTTGGGCACTGAGATTTGTGTTGCTTTCCCTGCTGAGCTGTCTCCGGAAAAACTCGCCTTGTCCTCCACACCAGTGCCGCCTCCCTCTCCTTCCACAGATGAGCTAAGGGCCCCACCCTCTGTCCGGAGCCAGGGAAATTCCAGGGCCGGGCTGCCAGGGGCCACCTTGGTAACGCACCGGAGGTGGAGACAGGGGTTCACAGTTTCTCAGCATCAGGACATTCCGGGGAGGTGCTAGCAGGGGTTACTCTGGGCCATGTGAAAGGCCGGCTGTCTTCTAGATACTCTGAGATCAGAGGTGTGAAGGCTGGACGGGGATGTGGCTCCCCACTCTCACCCAGTCCCAACACCAGCAGAACCCCATGACGCTGTGCCTAAGGAGCGTCCTGGGGTCGGGGGAGTGGACCCCCTAGAGTCTGAGAAGACATGTGGGGAGGGGAAGCGGGTTCTTTCTGGAGGACCAGGACAAGTGGGGTTCCTGGAAGGTGAGACAGAGGGCCCTCGCCGGTGGGAGGAGCAGAGCGGAGAGTGCATTCTCACTCCTTTGGGGTGCGCTAACTGGCTTCTAGGAGATGATTCTCTTCGCGGAGGCCAACGGCCCAGAGAACAAACAGCCGGCTGTGCAGGGATTTGCCTGACAACACACCCTTTATTCCCTTCCCAGACTCCCCTCTACTCCTCCACCAGAGGATCCTGAGTTCACCACCAGATAAACAGGCACTGGAATCCGTGTCTCAGATAAGAAGCCACTCCCGAGTCCCCCCGCTCATGACAAGGGTGCCCCGCGGGCCCCACGGGGAAGCTTGTGCACCCCTGAACTCCAGGTGGTTGCCTCTGAGACTTCTGGAAGGGTCTGTACCAGTTACTCTTTCCACGACGGGACCGGGGGTTATGCAGTCGGTCCCGGGGTCCCGGGCTCTACTCTGTCCTGCCCTGCCCTCCCTACTTTATGTGAGTCGGGTCTTCCTGGAGTTTCCTGGAGCTCAGAGCGGGTTCAGGCTCCTGCCCTCTCCTGGCGACACATACAGCAAGGGTCAGGAGCCAGGTCCAGAGGGGCTCAGCCAGGGCTCCCGAACTGCCTCTTGTCACTGGGCCCCTCCCCAGCCACCCCCTGGAGCCTGGTGTGAGTGGTGGGGTTCTTAGCTAGAGAGATGCAGGGGACTTGTCTGGGATGAGTCCTCCAGAGATGTCTGTGAGTCTGTCCCCTCTGAGGAGAAGCTGCCTCCAGCGGGGTGGGGGGTGTGACTCTGCCTGGGGAGTCACTGCCAGGAGACGAGAGGGGCAAGGAGAGGCTCCGGGGCAGGATCAAAGGGCTCACGGGGACCTTTGCCTTCATCAGCCTCTACAGTCTGGCCAGCTTCCTGGGCCAGAAGGCCTGCCTGGAAACTTCCATTCTGCCCCTCTCGGGGGGCCCGAGGCCAATAGGAATTTGGCGGTCGATCCAGGCCCAGGGAGTCCCCGAGGGGCAGGCCCCGCCTTCCCCTTCCCCTAGAAGCGACCGCTGCATTCAGACCCCGACCCTCGGCCGCTGCCTTTCTTAGTTCTGGGTGTGCCGAGTGGGCGGCGGGCCCCGCTGGGCACGGACAGTGGGCCAGTGCCCTCTTCAGGAGGGTCCGGATCTCCTCGTGTCTCACCCGGGCCTCCTCCCACAGGGCCTGGCCGGGGCCCTCCTGGCTCAGAGAGGCCACCTGCAGCCCCATGGCCGTGAGCTTCTCGGCAGGGAACTCGGATGCCAGTCGCCGCAGGTAGCGGTGGACGAGGCGCTGGTCTCCGGGGCTGGCCCTTTGGGTCTTGCCCAGCCTGAGCTGCCTCATCAGGTCCTGACAGTCCACGTGAAACCAGGTTATCTGGGGGCGAGAAGAGAGGGATGTGGGGTTCAGGCTGGGAGCGGGGCCGTGGGGCTCCATGAGGACGGCATGTGCATCTCCAAGCAGAAAACACGGACTGCCGGGTTGAATTCTTAAGACGTTGCCCAGTCGATGCCTCGGCCTCCTCTGTGGGGTCATGAGAGTCTCTGCCGCCAGCCAAGGCCACGGTTTCGCTCTCGCCCCTGAGGTCAACACACCTGCGACCAGCAAACAGCCCCCGGCCCCCTGGGGATCCTCAGGCATGACCTGGGGGCCAGCCAAGCCTCACCCCTCTCGGGGGGCGATCCAGAGCGGGGCATCCGGCTCCTCTGGTTGTCCTAACGACTGCATTCACCCCTCACGACTGGCGCAGAGGGAGGCGTCGTGCTGATGTTTATCGAGCACCTTCGGCTGGCCAGGCTCTGTGCATCTCACGCGCGATCCCACTGAACCGCACCCCGCAGCCCGTTTTACGGAGGACGAATCCGAGGCTCAGAGACAGGAAATCACTTGCCCCGGGTCACACTGCAGTTTAGTGTGGGATCTGAACTCAGATGTATCCAGTCTTTGACAGAGTATCTTGCAAGCACCTCCCTGCCCGGGCGACACCGGCCCAGGCAGGGCTGCGTCCCCGAGCAGTCGCTGGAGAGACCATCAGCCAACCCGGCCCGGCGTCGGGGGGGGGGGGGGGGGGGGGGGGGCCCTCCTCCCTCAGCCCGGCCTCTGCCCCACTGTGGGATTCTGCGTGTCCCTCTTTCACCCACAAAATGTCTGCAGGCTGCAAAGGAGCCAACACGTTTCCCAGCAGCTCGTGAAAAACATAATCTTTCTCTCCATTAATTTAGAACCGACAGCGAGCTGTTAGCTGTGGGGATTGGAGAACCGTTTTCTCCAAGGAAACCATCTTTCCGCGGATTAAGGGAACTTGTCTTTAGATAAATGGCTTCATATTCGCGGAAGCACACGGAGCTCATGGCTGGGAAAGGGCTCCATAAATCTCTGTTAGCGGCGCGATTGTGTTATTATTATTTAGTGCCAAAGCCGCCGCACGCGCGCTCTCTGCCCGGGGCTGGGCCCAGCACAGGGCTGTCCTGTCTGTCTGTCTGGCACTTGATCTTCCAGGCTGAGCTGGACAGGGATGGGGGCAGCCTGCCGAACCCTTCGTTGTGCGGATGAAGATCCGGGGCCGGAGAGGAACCGGGTCAAACAGCGAGAGGGCCACGCGCAGTGGGATTCAAGGTCAGGGTGCCACCTCCTGTAGGATTCCCAGGCCTGGGTGGGGCTCTATCTTCCCACATGCCCCCAACCTTCCTGCTCCCTCCTCCCTCCTCACTCTTCCTCCATCCACTTGGTCACTGACAACAGACAAGCAGGTGAGGAGGCAACAGGAAAATTCCAGATCACGGTGAGCACCGTGAAGTGAGAAAAACGGGGGGGCCAGAGGGAATGGGGGCCAGGGGGCCAGGAGGGGCCTCGGCGGGGAGGGGACATGTGAGCTGAGCACTGAAGAAAGTTAAGAAACCAGCCAGTCTTAAGGAAAAGTGTTCCCAACTGAGGGAAGGGCAAGTGAGAAGGCCCAGAGGTGCAGCAAGTGTGTTTTATGGGGCTGAGATCAGCCGGAATCAGCACGCGAGGAGAGAAGGGGCCAGCTGCCCTTGACGCTCGGGGCATTGCTACCACTCCTACTGCTGCTAATGATCATAATGTTGGCGTTAATAATAACCATCCCAAATTTGAGTAAAGCCTGGGGTGGGGGTTACTTACATTGAGTTTAATTCTCTCACTATCCAGCAAGAGCCAGATGATCTGCGTTTGAATCTCAGCTCGGCCATTTCCCAGCTGTGTGACCCTGGATGCGTTATTTGACCTCTCTGTGTTTCCTTGTGTGTAAATTGGGCATAATAACAGCACCTGCCTCAGAGGATGGGTGTGGCAATAAAATGGCATGTGAAATGACAAGACAGGGCCTGCCACATAGTAAGAGCTACAGAAGCTTTGGTTATTATTACTATTTTGATCGTTATTATTGACGAGGAGCTGAGGCCCAGGGCAGTGAAGACCGTGGCTGCGGTCACACAGCCTTCCGGGGGCAGGAGCCGCCCCTGGCTCTAAGCCTCAGGTTCTGCCACTGCCTGGCTCTCTTCTGTCAGCTGGGAGCGGGATCCCCTGGCTGCCACCGTCCCTATCCCTTGCCCGCTGCGCCTCAGAGACAGAGAAAATGACCTGTCCTCCCAGCACCGCAGGGGGACTTGAGCAGAGTCCCTCTCGCTTCCCCTCTGAAGCATCCTGACTTCTCCATCCTTTGTGTGCTGAGCCAGCCTGACAGCTGGGAGGCTGGGGTCAGGCTCTTCCCCCGCTCTGTCCTCAGGGGCGAGTCTGGGGGTGCTGGGCCTGGACCAGAGCTGTGGGTTCTTGTCCCATCTAGGGTACAGCTCTCCCAGGCTGCTGCTGGTCCCCCTAGGCCTCAGTGCCCCCAGGAGAAAAGTGAGAGATTTGGTCAAATGGATTGGGGGGTGGGGTCTCTTAAGTCAAATCCTGCTTGACCATCGGCCCTCTGGGGAACCTTGTGCAAGGCACATTCCTCAGTTTCCTCATCTGCAGAATGGAAACAATGTTCGCGCCCCTCCCCCATAAAGATATGGTGAGATTAGGGGGGCCTGACTGGTTTAGTCAGTAGGGCATGTGACTCCTGATGTCAGGGTTGCGAGTTTGAGTTCCACGGTGGGCATAGAGCCTACTTAAAAAAAAAAGAATTGAAAAAAAGAGAAAGATATGGTGAGATCAAATCAGATAAGGTTTGTGAAGCACTTAGAAGAGTGTCCAACAGGGAGTCCACAGTCACGAATGCGGGCTACTCTCATAATAATCCTATCATCATCACACCTGATTGAACATGGGAACCTGTTACCATCCACACCCCCACCTTTGGAGAAGAACACAGAGCAGGAACGCATCTGTGTTCAAATTCCAGCTCTTCTTTTCTGCAGCTGTGTGGCCTTGGGCAAGGCCCTTCTCTTCTTAGGGCCTCAGCATCCTCATCTGTAAAATGGGACCACTCTGCCTTGCCACACTGGATTGCCCAGAGACGACCGATGCAAAGCAGCGGAGTTCGTCTTGCCTCCGACCCCAGCACCGCCCCCGATCCCCTCCCCCGGAGGAGCCCTGTCTTTTCCTCCCCACTGCTGGCCAAACTCTGGGCTCCTGGCCAGGACTAAGGCCTCTGTTCTGGGGGTGCTCAGAAAAGACTCCGGGCCCACCCTCCGCCAACTGTCCCCTCCTTCCCCAGCTCCCACCCACTGTGTAAGGCAAGGCGAGGCATGGAAAAGAGCACTACGATGGTGCCATGGGCTTCCCGTGTGACACTGGCTAGGTGTCAGTCCTTCTCTGATCCTGTTTCCCCAGCTCTGCAACGGAAGTTTCTTAGGCTGGTCTGACCGCCTGAAGTTGTCTGCAGAGAGCTATGCGTAGAGAGGAAGTCTATGGCTTTGACTGGATTCTCGGAAATACCAGGTCCCCTTCCCCTAATCCCAACGTTTAAGAGGCAGATGATATCTGAGTGTCCTTTGAGAGCTGACTTCTAGGCTGCTGGGAGGCTGCCTGGTGTAATGGGACAAGCTGGGGTCCGAGATCGGCTGGGACTGACTTAAGGGGTCGCCTATCCTCTCCAACCTTGCTTCTCTTCTGGAAAATGCAGGTGACAATAGAATGAATCCTCCAGAGAGCCTCGTGCTGTGTGTGGGCTGCTCCCTGCCCCCTCCCCCCTCACCTCCGAGCTGGACGGGGCGGGGAGGGTCTGTGCGGGCGGCCACAGGCTCACCTTCTTGCAGAAGTGGTGTAGACGGAGCAGCGTCTCCAGGTCCGTGCGCTGCCGCTCGGCCGCCATGTAGAAGTGGGTCAGCTTGGCCTGGAAGGCCCGCTGGGTGGAGGTGAAGGCCACCAGTTCCGGGAGCTCTGCTCCTCCGGCCGCAGCTCCCAGCTGAGCTGCCTGCTTGGACAGCTCCAGGCCCCGGCGGTACTGGGCCTGAGCGGGAGAGGAGAGGTGTCCATTCGGGTGCCATCTTAGCTGAGGCGTCCCTCAGAGGCCAGGAACCTCTGCCGCCCCACTGCTGAGTTGTCGGGCTTCCCAGACCTCTGTTGTGTCATCTACAAAATGGGCACCGGGCCTCCGCCTCAGCAGTCCATGCCTAGCTGGGACTCTGCTCGCTGTCACCTCCTTCGGGGAAACTTCCCTGACCCAGGGTCTGGGTTAGGGACTCCTGCCATGTGTCCCCACATGTCTCCCTTTCTGTTTGTTGCCCTGTTTTTCTGGCATTCCCTAGCCCCCACTGGCCTGGGAGCTCCCTGAGGGCTGAGAGGGGCTGAATCACCCGTGTCCTAGGCTCCCGTACATCAAGGGTGCAAATTCCTTGCCCCTGACCTGTGAGGCTGACTTAATAGGTCTCTGGTGGGACCCTGGAGTCTGCATTTTATAAAATCTTCCAGGGATCCTGAGATAGGTCTTCTTTTGGATGTGGTGATCCAGGAAGGCTTCCTGGAGGAGACAGCATCTAAGCGGAACCCTTTCTGATCCATGCCGGTCTCCTCACTGTCTCCGGACGTTTCCTTGCACTTTCCCACCTGCACACCTTTGCCCTAGCAGTGCCCCCCCCCCCCCACCACGGCCCTCTCCATTTGCTCCGATCCTGCTCCTCCGTCTTTAGGAACGCACTGCAGCCTGGAGAAAGAAGTCCTCAAACTCCGCGTGGGCTTTCTCCACAGTCTCCAAGCTTCTGTCTTTGGGGGTCAGCATTTGCAGGCACCGGCTCCCCTCCTGCTCCATCCAGTTGCTGACCTGGGGCAGGGGAGGGAGGTGCGGACATGAGGGGTGCCTGGGGAGACGTCCCTCGGCCAGCTCCCCGCTCCCTTGGAAGTGGGGATCGTGTCCTCACTGATTCGGTGGCCGGGCCTGCGCCCGTTGGCCTGGACCGAGACCCTCCCGGTTCTGGGCAGAAGGGACAGTTTGGGGAGGGTGGGTGCATTGTCATGTTCTTCAAGTAGCTGAAGGGGGCAGGACTCTCTGAGTGGGACCCCAGGGGGCATCTGGCCCGGCCGGTGCCATGCCCGAAGTAGGCCGTCCGTGCGCGCTTGTCTGAATGAAGTCTCACGGTGGCAAATTTGAGCTTACTCTAACCACTCAGCGCTGCTAATCAGAAAAGAGGCAGCCTTGAGAGTAATGAGCTCCTCATCCCCGGGGCTATGCAAACAGGAAATGCTGCCTTCTGTAGAGCAAGGTGCGCGGGCCCGCTGTGAACTAACTCACTGTGCGAACTGGGCAAGTCGCGTCCCCTTTCTGGGCCTTAGTTTATTCAGTGGCAAAGTGGGGTAGGCGTGAGGATTCGATGAGGGACAGAGGGGATAAAACGGCCCTCGAACCCAGGAGCAGAAGTCCCCTTCTTACCCTGGGATGCCTTAAAGAGTATGTACTCACTCCCTTTACCCTCGAAAAGCCCATTCGTGGCAGGCACTCCTATTATCTCCCCATTTGACAGATGAGAAGACTGAGGCAATGAATAGTTAAATAACTTGTCTGGGGTCCGGGTCAGTGCTGGAGCCAGGACTAGAACCCAGGCCATCCATGTGCCCCCCAGCCCCCAGCACGAAGGGCTGCACTGGTTCTAGACGCCGGCAGTCGGGTGAGGTGATGCCGGGGGTGGGCTCCAAGATCAGATTCCCAGGTGTGTGACCACAGGCAGGTGACGTAATGTCTTCCGGCCTCAGTTTCCTCATCGATGAGTGGGAGCAATCCTAGCATCTTCCCCCATCCCTGGTAGGCGGTAAGGTTGGAAAATCATTGTATACGCAAAGGCTCTGGCCTGGGGCTCGGCAGGATGAGAACAGCTTTTTGGGTTACGTCTTCACCCGCGCAGCACTTCCGTAGTGCCGTGTCATACGCCGCGTCACAGGCCGCCCGCCTGGCTCTTGAAGAACGGCCAGCCTCGTGTCCTTACACCAGAGCAGAGTGCCTGGCTGGGGCAGGGTCTGGAGCAGGGCCTTCCCCCACCCAGAGGCCAGCCTCCCCTTTCACCTGGTGGATGGCAGCCTCCAGGCGGCCGAGGCGGACGCGGAGCTCCAGCGCCCCCAGGAGGTGGTTAGAGGCAGTGACCAGGACATGCAGCTGTTCGTCCACGAGGCCGTACCAGGCGACAGCTTCGGCCAGATGGCTCCTGGGAGGTGGAAGAGGGTGCAAGAGGGCCCAAGATGCCCTCCCCACCAGTACGCCTGCCCCCCCCCCCCGACCCCCACCGGTTCCGTGGGTCCAGCCTGGGTATTCCAGCTGCCGACTTGCTGGGTGACCTAGGGCAGGTCCCTATACCTCTCTGGGCCTCAGACTTGGCCTTTCCTGGGACGGAGAAGGCCAGAGGACACAGTGGGAAACCGAAAGACCCTCCCCTTCCCTGGGAGATGCCCTGGGAATCCGAGTTGGACAGATCTGGGTTCAAATCTCAACACCCACCCTAAGCCAGTTGAGTCAGGCTCTGAGTGCAGCCTGGACATTAGCACTTTCTAAAGCTTCTTAGATGGTTTCAGGGGGGCAGCAAGGGCTGAGAACCAGCCCTCACACATTCAAAACTCTTAACAGTACCCAACACCCACTGTTAGTGCTTGTTATTCCTATTGTAATGATGGTGAGTGGCCGTAACCCGCCTTTCCACCACAGCCTCCATTTTACAGATGAGAAAACTGAGGTCCAGAGAGAGGAACTGACTCTCACGCATCGCATTCTGAATTGGAATCCAGTCTACAGCTTTTTTTGCACATAATTTAAAAAAATAGTCAAAGCCAGCAAGACATAAATGAAAGGGAGCAGACGGGAGTCAGGCACGGTGATACTCCGGTGAGGGGAGGACTCTCCGGAATCCCACCCCACCCTCCTCTGCCCTACAGGGTCTTATTTCAGATGGAAAAGGGAAAAAAGGACACGGAAGGAAAGCCTGCCATCTTTGCTCTGGGCCTCCCCCATCTGACTGCAGCTTCCCGCAGATCACTGCCTCTCCAGGAAGGGGTGAAGGCCCAGGGTCAGTGCATGGAAAATGCCAGCCAGCCTGGCGGACACTGGGAGGAAGGGGTGGGCAGGCGGGAGCTGCAGGGACCCCTCTGCAGAACAAGCTCAGCGGCTCATGTGGGACCACACCGCCCCCTGGTGGAGCTGCTGGTGGCCAACAGTCTGGGGAGGCCTATGGCCGACAGGGACAGTGAGGCGGGGTCACGCTGGGAAAGACAGTGCCAGGCTGTGTGACAAGCACCAGGACCCACATCAGTGCGAATCTGTCTGTGGACGCAGCTCAGGGCGGTGTGTTCGATATTCTGGGCCAGGCTGCCTGGGTTAAGTCCTGACCCCCACACATCTCAGCTGTGTGACCCTGGGAAAGTCACTTGACCTCTCTCTGAGCCTCAGACCCCTCCACTGTAAAATGAGGATAATACGAGACTCCACCTAGTGGGAATTAGACGTGTTAATATTTGCAAAGCCCTTAGCACAAGGCTATGCTCATACTAAGCGCTATTTAGGCGTTAGTTAAATAAACAAGTTGTTCTTGGAAGCTTAGGCGAACTTCATAATTGTGTTTGTTCTAACAGAGACAAAATATCTCCAATTACTGACTGATTTAATTACTGATTGGCACCCCCCCCCAAACTTAAGAAAACCCGTAATTTCCAGGAATGTGTATTTTTTTGTGTTTTGTGGCTCTGAGACCACGGCCACGGCTGACGGTTCTCTCCGCCAGGCTGAGAAACCCACCAGGGAAGGCCGGGCGGTGCAGGGGTTACTGCTCAGATGTCCTGGCTCATCTATCATTTCGCTGAGCCTCGGTTACCCATCAGCAAAATGAGGACGATGTGGCCCTCACAAGGTTCTTTTGAGGAATCAACGAGATGGACCCTTGAAGGGATTCAGCCCAGTGTCTTAGAAAGTCAGAGAAAGTGCTTGGGGGTGACTGGAAACGAGCAGGGGCTGTCCTCTGATGCCCACTTTGGGCTGAAGATGGCCGCGGCTGAAGGAGGGGCAGCAGAGAAGGGACCTTACCAAAGGCTCAGCCCAGGATACGGACCCTGCAAATGCCCCCCATGCTAGGCATCCTTAGGGCCCACCCTGTGCGCTCCCAGCTCCCCGGCCAGTGGACAAAACTTGGGGAGGAAAAACCTGGCTGTTCATACCTGACGTCAGGGTTGAAGTCCAGCCTACTGGCTTCCTGCCGTAGCCTGGCCAGAGTGGCTCCCCCTTCCCGCTGGAGGCCCAGCAGCCCTGGGTCCCTCAGCACGGTCTCCATCAGCTCCTTGGACTTGCTCAGACACCTGGAGGCTTCCTGCCAGTGTAGGAAGGTGGCCTGAGGCCCCATCCCCACTCTCCTTCTACAGCCTTCCAGGGCTCCCCACACCCGGATCATGCCTGACTCCCCCAGTTCGGCATTCAAGGTCCTGCACCAAGTCTATCCTTCCTATCGCTAAAACATCTCCTCGAGCCACGCCTCCTCTTGTCACCATGGCAACCTCACGGGAGCAACCCCCACCAACCCAGGGTCTACACCTCCTGTTAGGACACTCACCCCTGCCTCTTCACTGGTCTCCCTGCTGCTCTCTGGCTCCCCCTGCAGTCTGTTCCCCACACGGCAGCTGGCAGGATCTCAAAGGGGCTATGTGTTCGCCCTGCTGCTTAAAATTCTCCAGGACCTTTCCTGCCGGCTTAGAGTCGAATCCCAACCCAAGTCCTTGATACAGCCTCTTCTGGTTTCTTCTCTTCTAGTTCTTCTCTTCTCTTGCCCCGCTCCCACCGCTCTGTTCTACATTGGCCTCCATGCTATTCTCGAACATACCAGAACCACCCCACCTCAGCACCTTGGCACGTATTTGTTCTCCAGGTGGAGCAGTCCCCCTCTGTTCCCATGGCCAGCTCCTTCTCATCTTCAACCGAAATGCCATCTCTTTAGGGAGGCCCTCCCTCCTTCCCCATTGTTCTCAATCTTATTTTCATGGCATTTGGCACAATTTGGAACTACGCACCCGTTTCTTTGCTTATTTTCTTTCTTTTTTTTTTAATTTTTTCAACGTTTTTTATTTATTTTTGGGACAGAGAGAGACAGAGCATGAACGGGGGAGGGGCAGAGAGAGAGGGAGACACAGAATCGGAAACAGGCTCCAGGCTCTGAGCCATCAGCCCAGAGCCCGACGCGGGGCTCGAACTCACGGACCGCGAGATCGTGACCTGGCTGAAGTCGGACGCTTAACCGACTGCGCCACCCAGGCGCCCCTCTTTGCTTATTTTCTTAATGACTACTCTCACCTCTGCACCCTAAACCCTATGAGGGCAGGGACAGGACAGTGTGCCCCAGGCTGGGTCTCCAGGATATGACATATAGTGAGTGTCCAGTAAATATCAGTCAAGTGAGCGGATTAAAAAAAAAAAAAAAACGGGATGATGACGCCCACCCCGGCTGCCCCCCTCGCTGAGCCCTTGGTCCACGGAATCTGGGGTATAGTGAGGCTTCCCCACCCCATGCTCCTGGCTCACCTGCACCCCTCCAGGGAGGTCACTCTTCTCAAACTGCTTGATGGAAGCCTTTAGCAAGGCGGAGACCTGGTGCAGGTCAGCAAGGAAGGGGTCCAGCTTCTGCGTGATGGAAAGCCAGAGTGGGAGTGTCAGCCCGGGCCAGCGAGGCCACCTGCCCACTCCAGGAGGACACAGGGAGGGCATTAGGCAGTGGTTCTCAAACTTCAGCTGCATCAGAATCACCTGGAGGTCTGGAGAAAATCCGGACTGCTGAGCCCCACTCCCGAGTCCCCGGTTTCATTCCTTTTGGGTGGGGCCTGAGAATGTACACCTAACAAGTTCCCAAGTGATGCCGATGCTGCTGGTCCAGGGACCATACTTTGAGAACCACTGGTGCTGGGAATGAAAGGAGGAGGAGAAAGAAGGCCCCCAAGGGGATACTTTGGGGAAGGGGAAGGAGCAGATGGGGGAGGGCAGAGTTAGGGGGCGTCTTCTGCTGAGTCCCACTTCGGCCCAGCTTCCCTGCCGACTAGCTGTGAGGCCTTGGGCCAATCGCCTAACCTCTTTGTGCCTCGGCATCCTCCTCTGTAAAATGGGATCGCAGTCGTTCCTACCTTAGAGGCTAGCGTGAGGATGAAACGTGTGCATTTGTGTGAGGTGCTCAGTGTATCCTATCAGCCAACATCATTATCAGTTTCACATTCTGGGTCTACAGGTTAGATGTCATTTCGAGGGAAGGTTTTAAAGTGAAAATACAGTTCAAAGGCCACTGGATTCACCAGAGGGGAACCGGGGGGCGACTGTGGGATGAGTAGGAAAGGAGACCACTCAATATATACCCTTTAGTACCATTTGAAGCTTTCACATACTGCCTGTTCAAAAACAGACACATGATAAGCGGGAGAGCACCGGGGCCAAAAACAAATAAACAAAGCACCACATTAGATTGTTAGTGGAGACGCGTGGCTCTCACTGGGGGGGGTGGGGGGGGTGGGGAGGGGTGATTTCGATCCCCAGGGGACAACAGGCAATGTCTGGAGATGTTTTTGCTTGTCATCATTTGTGAGGTGCTCCTGTCAGAGTGGGTAGTGGCCAGGGACGGTGCTAAGCACGCTGCAGTGCACAGGATCGCCCCCAACAACAAAGAAGCAGCCAGTCCCAAACGTGACTGGTGCCGAAGGTGAGCAGCCCTGGTCTAGGGAAAGTCCAGGGCAGCACTTATGGGCACTGCTTTCTGTGCGAGTTAAGCCAGGAATCTCGTGTGTTCTTGTGCCAGCCACCCCCGTCCTGTGTGTCCTCATGTACTAAAGTGGGCATGAAATGCCCCCTCCAGGGTTGTGCGGAGAAGAGCCTGAGATCATAGGGAGAAGGAGTTTCCTTATTCCCTCCCTCTTTCAGGGGGGAACGAGTCTGCCTCCCTCACCAGACCCTGAGCTCTCCGAGCTGCGTGGGTCCACAGAACGAATGTCCGTCAATTTCATCGGCACTTAAGCGTAGACACAGCTCTTAGCATGCGCCCGACACTCTTCTAAGCTCTTCGCCCACATGAACTCAATTAAACCTCACAACGGCCCCCTCGAGAGGTACTGCCATTACCCCCATTTTGTAGTGGAGGAAAAGGGCTCAGAGAAGCTATGTGACTTCCCCAAGTCCTGGGACTGGAACCCAGGCAGTCTGGGTGCAGAGCTTGAGCTCCTCGTTACTGGACTCTGCACCCTCATCATAAATGTATGTTGGACGACTGTCTCTGGGCCTGACGGGGTCACTAGATCCAGGGGGCAGGAGAGTGAAGGAGGAAGAGAAGGAGTTAGGGTGGGCGGTAAAGGCTTCGAGGGTAGGCACCTGGAAGAACTGCACCCACTCGCTGTGGCAGTAGGGGAAGGGGCCTTCCAGGGCTGTGGGCAGCTGCCCGGGGTCCACATGGTGGCTGAGAGCTCTCAGTGAGGTCACCACCTCTACCTGCAGGTGAAAGAAGACAGTCAAGATGACCAGGGGACTCAGCGTGGGCACACCTGTTTGAGAAGGGCCTGCCAGATCCCTGCCCCAACACCACTCCATCTGCCACAGGTAAGGCTGGCCCTGGCGTTAAGAGTTGCTTTTCCGGGCAAGGATCTTCTCTGGAAAGTCTGACAAATCAAAATTCAGAATGAGACCCTGGCTAAGGAATGGTAAGTAAACAGCACTCCTACTGCCCCTTCCCCAGCACGTGCCCGAGGCAGACATCATTAATCAATCACCGCACTGACTCCCTCTAAGCTGGGCTCTTTCCCAACACAGATCTCCGGGAAATCACACAAATGGATGAAAGCTGACCCTGGTCACGTAACTTCTTTGTTGTAATCCTTGCTCTGTTCTCCAGTGACCCACCAAGGTGCCGTCTCCTTCTTGGGGCTGAGAAAGGTCACCAAATCCTGACCGTATCCTCTAAGACATGGAGGAGGGACGAGGTGCCTGCTTCTCCCGGACGGTGAAGTTGGAGGTTTATGCTAGGAACAGCTCCAGATACCTAAGCTTGGGATTGGGCGGATTCTGTCTGTTTGGGCCCATCTGTTATCCTCGGTACTCAAAGTGTGGTCCACGGACCAGCTGCATCAACATCACCTAGGAGCATGTTAGAGATGCAGAATCCCAGGCCCCATCCAGGGCTACTCCATTAGAACCTGCGCTTTGACAAGGTCCCCAAGGGATTCACTGGCACATAAACCCTTAAAAAGCACATCTCTAGGGGCGCCTGGGTGGCTCAGTCGGTTAAGCATCCAACTTTGCCTCAGGTCATGATCTCAGAGTCCGTGAATTCTAGCCCTGCATCGGGCTCTGTGCTGACAGCCCGGAGCCTGGAGCCTGTTTCAGATTCTGTGTCTCCCTCTCTCTCTGCCCCTCCCCCGTTCATGCTCTGTCTCAAAAATAAATCAACATTAAATTTTTTTTTTTTTAAAGCACATCTCTAGCTCCCAATGCGACTCTGCACCAATGAGGAGGAGGAAGGAGGCCTTGAAAATCCTTTCCCGAAGCAGGGCAGAGGGCAGGGGGCCCACGCTCATGATTGCGGTACACGGCGCTAATTAAAGAAAACTGCAGGGCTCTTTGCTGTAAAGTCCCAAGTCATCTCAGCCTCTGAGCTGGCGATGGTGAGAGAGAAACCAGGGAGAGAAAGGCGGGAAGATCAAGGCCGCAATATGGAAAAGGCGTCTCTGCCTCTAGCTTACTCGGTGGCCTTGGGCCTCAGTTTCCCCATCTGAAAAGGAGGGAGGGGTCGAGGAGCTGAAACTTTAAAAATCGGTTTCATGCCACAGGCACCTCTCGGTCACGTGGTAGAGCCCACCAGGAGCTTCTGGGATTGCCAGAGAGCGAGCCCTAGATGATTGATTTGGCCACACCTGCCACGGAGGCAGGGCTGACAATTGTAACGCCCAGCCTTGTATTTGTTGACCTCCACTAGGTCACTCCAGGCGGGTCCCAGCTGGTGAATTCTGCACCCCGGCTCAGCTCAGCCTCCCCCTCACCTGGACGTCAGGCAATGTTTCCAGCTGGAGGGCAGCCTCCTTCTCTCCCAGGTAGAACACAGCACGGATGGAGGCTGGGGCCAGGGCCTGTCAGAGAGAACCGTTTCAGAGGTGCTCTGTCTAGACCTTCACTGAGCCCCCTGCTAAGACTCAGGCAAACAGCTGGGGCGGGGTGGGGGGGGCTCGGCTGGGACGTTTATGTGGTATGTTTGGAAGATGAATGGTTGGAAGTCAATAGAGCACCAGGTCCAAGCCGAGTTGCAAGCTTCCTAGGTGACCAGTCCCCTCTGAGCCTCAGTTTCCCCATGTATAAAGTGAGGAGGGGAAGGAAGAGGAGGGGATCAGACCATAAAGTAAGTGTATGCCAACCTTCCACTTTCTCCGCTGCCTAAGCCAGCAACTTACAAACCTCTTCCTTGCTCCTCTGTTCATGAGGCTCATGGGACCTAAGTCTAAGCCCATCGGGGTGGCCACAGAGATCGGTTGGTGGATGAACACCTGAGCTAAGGAGACAGAAAGAAACCTCCTGGGACCTCTGGGAAGCGAATCTCTGACTCTTTCCTACTGGGTGGGCTTCAGTGAAAAACCATGGGAAGTGAGAACCAGACTGCCACCAGGGCGGGAAGCCTGGCTGAGAATAGCGCCCTCCCAGGAGAACTCGGCCAGAAATGGAGACAGGAACCAAGTCTTGGTGACAATATCTGAGCCCCTGAATCCAGGCATTTCACTTCTGGATTATCAAGTCACATGGACCAGTGAGCTCACTCTGTCTTCAAGACTGGGCTGGGATTTCTGTATCTGCAACGAAGAGTTCCTGCCTGGGGTTTCCGGTCCCAGGTCTGTGCCCCTTGGGGCCCATGAGTGTCAAAAGTCCCCTGGAGCTCCCAAGCTCCTTGCTAGGCTGAGGCTGTCCGCCTCCCACTCACCTGGGTGGCCTGCAGGGCACTGACCAGACCAGGGTGTGGAGGCTGTTTCCTGGAATCAATCATAACTGCCAGCCCCTTGGTTTTATCTTCAGGCCTGTGGGTGGTAAACGGAATCGGCAGTCTTGCTGGATGGATGGGACTTTCTAGGGGGAAGGACCTCGTGGAAGGGGAGGGGGCTGGCTGCCAGAGCCTTGATGTACTGGTGAGCTCTTCATCTCGCAAGACCGACTGCCCATGGCCACCCCACTCCAGGAAGCCCTCCACGATCTTTCTCCAGGCAGAGTCCATTGCTTCTTCTGTGGTGTTCCCACAATACCTCACACAGCCCTCTCTCACACCCTAACAATCATATGCTATAAGCCACCATCCCAGTTGCGGTGGGTGAGTCGCCCAGCATTTACCCCACCCCCTTCCCATGGGCAGAATTCTGGTTTCGTTCAAGAATCCAATTCCCTCCATAGAGCGGGTCCCCCAGGCGCTGGTTTCTGATTGGTTGAGGCCGAGAGTAGCGAGCCAATTCCTCTGGCCAATGGTTGCTTTACGTAGGGGTCACGTGACATGTTTCTGTCCAATGAGGAGTGAGGAGACGTTTGCCAGGGGACTTCTGGGAAAGACAGGCTCTCCTTGAAGAGGCTCTTACTAAGAGCTCTAAAGCAGAGACCAAGAGAAATAAATTTCCTTATGAGTAAAGACATTTTGAATTGGAATTTGTTACTTGCAGCCAAAACGCTGTCACTGGTTCACTCTGTACTTTTCAGCGATTACGTTAGGATTTCCCAAACTGGCTCAGTGGTCAGGAGTTGTTAAAAATATCGATTCCTCACCTCCGCCCCTACCCCGAGCCCCCAGACGTCTGGCCCAGCACGTACAGGGTGGGGCAGGGCGTCTGTGTGGTTCCAAGTGCCCTTGGCCATCCTGATGATCAGGCAGGTTGGGAAAATAACCCCCAGGGCCTTCCAGCCTTTATGTCCAGCCAGTTCATAGGTAAAACCAGAGATCGCCAGTGTGGAGGTGGGGTTTCAGCACTGCCATAGTATCTGGTCACCCAGGTAAGTTGTTTCATCTTGCCGAGAGACAATTTTCCCATCTGTAAATGGGGAGAATGGTAGTTTCGGCCCTGTGGGGCTGCGGTGAGGACCGATGAATTCATGAGCGTAAGGCACTCAGTGACTGCTGTAGAGTAAGAGGAATATAAATGTCTTCCGTTGCTATTCCCCTAGAAGGAAAAGTGAGGCACAGAGCAGCAACGTAGCAGACAGTGAGAAGAGGCTCTTGGAGATGAAGCCCCTGTGTTCATGTCCCACACCTCACCTGCCTCTGGCTGTGTTCGTGCTGGGAGAGCGGTCTGTTTCCACCCCTGCCTTGCCACCAGCCTGGAGGCCCCTGGAGGGCAGCGGCTGATGTGAGGAGTCAGAGTCTCTGGCATGTCCCAGCGTGAAGCTGGGCCCAGCACCCCGCAGTTTACACTGCTCATCGGAGTCCGCTTGGTGTTTCCTTTTGATCGGGTGAGTCTCAGAGGGGGAGGTTACCGCCCCAAGGTCACACGGCAAGTTGGTGGGATTCCAGGGCTCTGTTTACCACACTGGCCACTTCTCAGCACGGAAGAGGGGGTCCCATCTCCCCCCTCAGGCCAGAGAAGCCACACCACTTTGGAGACGAGGAAGAAAAATCTCAATGGCCAGCAGGTGGCAGTGATTGCTCCCATGAGATGGAGCACGGGGAGAAGGTTCCAAAGGGTTCCACGAGTCCCTCCACCCCCTACCCCTAGCTGCACAACCTCTAGGTTGGGTTGGGGTCTATCGCCACGGTCCTGAGCAGACACCACTTCTGAGACCCTCCTAGCCGGGGGCTGGGACTCGCGAGGAAAGATGGTGACTTTCCCCAGCCGGTCCAATGTGAAGTCTGAGCGGTGGGGGAGGAGAGGTATTAGCATCAGCCTGGATCGCCCATTACTCACAACTTCTTTCTTTCACTCTCTTACTCATCCACGCATTCACACCCATTCGCCCTCTATTTGTTCAACAGTATTTATGATTATCACCTGCCAGCTCAGTTATGACCTCTTCGGAGATGCCCTCCTTGATTTCCCAATTGAAATTCGTCACCCACCCTTCCCACTCTACAACCGTGGTTCTCCAAATGGGTCCCTGGCCAAGCAGCATGAATAGAATCAGGACATTTGTTAGAAATGCAAATTCTCAGGCCCAAGACCTAGCGGCTCAGAAACTTGGGGTGTGACCCGGTGATGTGTTTTTAACAGCGCTCAGGGTGACTCGTGCAATGCTCGGGTTTGCGAGCCACTGATCTACAACATCCCCCCCGTTTTCTTCACCACACAGACCCCCCTGAGTGCTTCTTGTCCATGCTGTTTCTTGCACACCATCCACCTCCCCCATCAACCTGGGAACCCCCTGATGGCAGGAACTAAGTTTGTCCTGCTTTACCC